GAAACGACGGAGGAGATTATTAGCACTTTCTGACCTGGTAAATGAAAAAAGCCGCCTCATAAGCAACTATGATGTTAGTATTTTTCTGATGTTAATATCATATCTGATATCTCTTTAGTACTCTTATCGCTATGGATGAAGACTGTTTTTTAGACTTTGAATATTCTGATGATGATAGTACAAGTTATATTGCTGAAACATTAACTGAAGCAAGCATTGCATCTGATGGCCTTGCATCAGAATATGACATTGAATTACAATCGTTTACTTTTGATTGTGTTGGATTTAAAAATGCACACATAATTGCTAATGCTAATGATGAGGAGATTTGTGAAGAAATTACATTAGAAGATATCAACTGCCATATGGCTAGGGAAAGAGATGATGATGACTTTAGTATAGTTTCAGAGATGAGTGAAGGGAGTAAGTACAGTATTGAGGATATGAGAGATGGTACTAGTCTAACTCCTTGTGTACTTCTGGATGTCATCAATGGATGTATTCAGCATTGCTCTGTCAGGTCAAAGAAGTAACGACATCTGGCACAGCTTGTGGGTACTTGGGAAGTGGATAGTGAAATATTCCAGCAAATGAGCAAAGAAAGTAGTCTGCATGTGCTTGGTCATGTGCTTTGTGTCTGCCAATCACACTTTCTTTATGACCAAAACAAACTACACTTACCTAAGATTAAAAAGTGCCAGTCCATTGAGAAGAGTTTTGTATACCATCATCAATGTCTGTTCTGTGGAAAATATAAGTATTTTTTCAGCCATGGAGAAACGTGTATACAACATTATGCAAATATTTATGGAAGAGGCATTCAGGTGCCATGCGCAGGGCGTCAAGCATGTCAAGCTTTAGGTTCAGTCAAAACCACTCTGGTGAATAATAGACAAGTGAAATCTCGACCTCGCTATGTATGCTCAACTTGCTTTATATCTAATGGTGGACATTTCCATAAGAGAAAAGGGCATGGCAAGAAGTCTGGTTCTTCCTGTGTGGCAAACCACATTGATGACATTGTCGTGCTGACTACTGCGGGAGAGCAGAAAGTAATTGACACTTAGGATTTAACTAGTCTCGACGGAGCATGGCGCCTCCTATTCAAGTTAAATATCTAATTTCACGGTTAGTGACCTTGTAATCGCAAGGCTTTACACTTACAGGCTTTTTCACCGTAGAATGACGCTTATCCTAGATATAGAATCGTTCTCGAGTATATCAGCGGTTATTGTCGAGGGA